TCATTTTCCATATTTTAATAGCTGCCAAGAATAGTGTACTTAAGACAAATTCAGGTTGATTTTTGGAGCACAAGGGTGCAGTCATTTTAGTTAGCAGTGTCCTAAGATCATTTAAAATTGCCAAAAGTACAATATCCAAAGAAATTTCATCCACATTACATGAAAGTAGTATATAGGTATGCCAACATTCTCTCCACTATGCATGTTTAAAATGCAAATATCTTCACCTTACATACACTGCACTGTCTCAAAAGTACATGATAACTGGTGAGTGCCACCAAACTCTCATAGAGTTTACAGGTATGGTGTTAGGTCACTTACATCAAAGAAAACCACAACTCAGCTTTTAAGGTATTAACATAATTTTGGAGGAGTTATTTCTGAAACATTAAAGTTTAGTGCAGTGGTGCCCATAATTCAGCTCCAAGGGATGTATTTCATTCAGCAGAATGTACTTCATTCATGTTTAAACCTACAAAGTGGCACCATTTTGTAAATATGTTCAGTAGCTTTGAATCAAGCCATATTGTTTTTTGTTGTATTGTCATACTGGGATCAAATTTTAATGAAGTAGATATTTACAATCTCAAGGCAAAGTAAAAATGTAATTACTGGTGCACTGATATAAAATGTCCTCTGCAATAATGCATAAACAAACTAATTGAGTCAAAAAGGAGAGGTAGGGGCCCAGCAACTCGCGATTGTTCAATTCTTGTTATCATTTGATCAAATTATACATAAATCAAAATTATGCAAAGTCAATAAGAAAACAGAAAATTAAATAAATTACTTTTCAAACAAGCTTTTACTATTTCTTTTTAATAATCATACATGCCAACCCCAAGATAAGTATAAGTGTAATTTATGTTAACGTAAGTTTGCCTAAATATTAGGCAATTTCAAATTACCACATGCATCTTGTAATGTCTTTGAATTGTGGATTGGCTTATATGCGGGTCATGCACTTTTTAGCGTTTATACCTATTCAGTTTGGGATGTGAGATTATATGTGAATGGGCTTATACACAAGTATATATGATTCTCTAAAATAGAGTAATATTAAAAAAGCCTTCTTGCCCCTCCATTTTAATGCTAAAAATGAATTTATCTTGGCATATATAGTTTTGTAAAGCTGAAATGGTTACATTAATAATTGTCAGACCTTGATCCAGAATAAAAATACATAATGTGGTACATTTACCACACCTATCTACTTTTTACTTGTGGATTTTTAGTAGGTTGTGGTGACCAGTCTGGATTTAGTTTGAGACCTTAGAACTCATTCATAGTATTTAGCATACTAATTAGGGAGGCACTTTGCCATCAAATTACTGACTTAATTATCTATTAAACATGTACTAATCAGAAATGCTTGGTTGACAGACTGCCACACAATGCATTATTCATAGTCTGCTATAGCTAGTGTTATCATATAAAAGAAAAGCATTTCCTTAAGTCTGTTCAATAGGACTGACATTTTCTGTGCATGGGAGGCAACTCAGCATTGACATTTTCTGTGCATGGGAGGCAACTCAGCATTGCCACTGCAATAAAACAGAAAGTCAAGTGAACCGTCTTTGCCTGCAGAGTATTTTTCTTTGATAAAAAAAATAAAATAAAAAAAGTTCTGATCCTAACTTTTTCGTCATTAACTTGAATTGGCCATATGTTATAATTTGACTTTGTTTTGCAAATTGAATTAAAAGCTTGTTTCTTCAATTTCAGTTTTATTTATTTTGTTAGCCTGTTCCATCAATTCTTCCAGACAACAATTGAACATTTGTTTCATGTTTTCAGGCTAAACTATGTTTGTATATGATGTCCCTTCCAGCCTATGAAATTTTACAGATCTATGTACAGAAAGCCTTAAAGGTAATGGAGAGCTTTTATTGCCCACCAAATTAGGATTTAATTTTGTTTGTACTACTTATAATGCAAGTAGTCACATATTTAAAGCATGGCAGTCAGGTGTACTAATTGATGATTACCATTTTATGGTGATTATTTGCTAAGAATATGGTTATTAAAGATGAATCATGAATAATACTGCAAAAATAGCTTGCAGACTCATCTTAGATAATGCTGAAAAATTTCAAATACCATGAATGATATTAAAATGTTGATAGTAAGTGAACAAATGTTTCTGAGAAAGACTAGACATAGGGACCAAGTTTCAAACAATTTGGCCCTGCTATACCTCAATGAACTATTTTATGCTAGAAATGAAAGCAACACTCCCAAATTAGACCAATTTCAGCAAACCATTTTCCCATCCTAAAACCAGACAAAGAACTCTTTTAAAAAAGCTTTCACTATCCAGGATCATTAATTTGGAACAGGATTACAATAATCTGGAAAATTGCAGTATGTGGCCAATATATAATACAAAACATGTTTCTTTCATTCATTTATCCAAAAATAGAACATAAATATACATATACATGTGCAAGGATTTCTGTATTTAGTACAGACAGGAAATGTAATCTATTTGTTTGCAATCGTTTTGACAAAATAATGCTTCAAAATGTAATTAACTGTCCATTAATCATTCCACATCTATTGTTAATGAAGATGAAAATAATTACTGTAAATTTATAGTGTTTTATAGGGGATAGGAATATTCTTTGATTTTAAAATATTTACTGTATATTCTATGTTATTCAAGGGATAGGAATTTTCATTGATTTTACAATAATTGCTGTAAATTTACTATTATTCAGGGGATAGAAATTTTCATTCATTTTAGGGTTGTTTCAGACCAGGTAGTACAAGAAACAATGATGGCATTGCAAAGTGTGTGGACAGAATTTAAGTACCAATGAATCTGAGAAAAAAATTATTTTGTTTAAATTCATTATTGTCTACTTTTTGTTTCAGTTTATCTTTGAAAACATCCTACTAGGAACTGAGGACCAGTTTATGGAATGGTTGGAACAGCGGAAAATTCCTTATATTGTTATTGAATCAGAAATAAAAGAATGACTTAATAGGGTGTAAGATTCAGTTAAAACTACAGGAGCTGTTGTGGTAATTTCATTCAAATTTGAGTGAATTATACAATTTGTTCATCTGCTACAGTTGCCTAGATGATCAGTCCATAGGTGATTTCTGTTATTAAAAATCCTACGCACTTCACACCAGCATAAATATTTATAATTTTCAACCTAAAGTGATATTTGTTAATGATTGTATAGAATAATCATTGATATTTTAAATTGAAATAAATGGTACAGGTTAAATTTCAGTTTTGAAACAAACAACTTTAACAGCAAATTTAAAGAGGGTAAATTTCAGTTCTGAAATATATGGATTTGCATAACGTGCTGGCAGATCTAGGTCTGTGCAGCTTGTTGGGCAAAGTAAGTAGTAAAAATATGTTAGACCCTGATCTGTCAGTGTATTGTGTGATGACCTGTGTTGTTTGCAGGTGAATTGGACTTATAAACAAGTATATCCATTATTTTTTTCTTCTTTATCCATTACTCACTGACCAAAAATACCCATTTTACACTGTGATGGTTATAAGTACACCTATACCATTATTCACTGTAAACCAATTGAGTTACTTTGTATAATATGGTTTGATTCTACATCATGAAAAACATCAACAAAAGCATGTTTAATATGTTCCTTGAAAACTGGATTGTTATACTCATTTTGTTTTGTTTGTGATTATAAACAACTCTATAACTGCATTTAATTAAAACATTAAGTTGTTACCATGCTTTTAATTTTAATTTTTTATAATGTAGGTATAGATGGTGTAAAATTTACACTAAGTATAGGGCATCTTAAACTGTGCTTAAAAACTACCATATCCCAAAGTCCTGTATTCTGTGGAAACAATATATTTACAATGATAATTTTCAGGATAATGAAACTGGGTGGGACATGATGCTACTTGTCTATGGCATGATGCCCCATTGCTTGACATCACTATAAACTGCCACACTGCAGACATCATTGCAGTATGACTGAAAAATTGTTAAAGCTATATTATAAATAAACACACTCACATGCACACCTATGACTCAGAGGTCATAAACTTAGTAACAGATAGAAGCAAAACCAACAAGTTTTGTAAAACTTAACAAATAATTTAATTATCATAATTATAAATGAAAATGTGAGAGGAACTTACAGACTATTTGAAGCAAATAAAAAATAACTCCAAAAAGTTCTATTAAAATCCAGAAGAATGAAAAGTTTATAAAAACTTAAGAATTGGAAATGTACTGGTCTGCCATGAATCATGGTGTTGTACAGAACTCCATTGAATAATCCAAATAAATGGAACATTTTCCCTCTGAGGTAATATCTAAATACAACATAAAATATGTCTGCAGACATGATGTTACAAAATGAACACAGTAAGTAAGAATGAACAAACTGCCCAGCCCAAGCTATTTATATTCATGCAAAGAAACACTCATATTATCACTACTAAACATTTCTAACATTGTAGAACTCGCATGATTTAAACTATCCAATAAGATTTGATATAATTCTTCTAAAATACATGACTCTCTTGTACAATGGAAAAAAGACTGAATCTCATAAAACATATTTACCAATCTATTATTAGTAACTGCCAAGATGTATGTAAGCATCTACTTATAGATTCTATGCAATTTTATGTTCTTTAATATCTTAAAAATATACTCTATGCATATATACCAAATCCAGCTATAAATAGTCGCTACAATTTACAGTCATGAATAAAAATAATAAAAAATTCAGACAATATTATGTACCAGGTGTCGTGTTGTTTATAATTTTTAATTTAGCTTTAACAATTTTTCAGTCATATCGCTACGATGTCTGCAGTGTGGCAGTTTATAGTGATGTCTAGCACTGGAACATCATGCCGCAGACATGTAGCATAATGTCCCACCCAGTCACATTATCCTGACACCAGGCCGACCAGTCCTAACACTAACCACTTAAAGCTGAGCATCAAGCGAGGCAGCTGTTAGTAGCATTTTTGTAAGTCTTTGGTATGACTCGACCGGGGATCGAACCCACGACCTTCCACATCTGAGGCGGACACTCTAAAGCTCTAACCACTAGGCCACCGGAGCGGTTATGTACCAGGAGTTAACAGAAAATATATATACACATACACACACAACAAAATGTATGTAGTTATGTATTCATACATGTGTTTGTATATATGGGCGAATGTATGTATGTATGTATGCATGCATGCATGTATGTATGTATATAGGTAGGTATGAATGTATATATGTATGTTAAAGTTGATTCTTATTTTATTACTTGTAGACAGTTTAGTAGGTTAAGTAGCTCCACTTATGTAAATACAACTATAGATAAGATTTGTTAATGTCTATTTCTGTATCTTAAATGATAGTAATCACAACTGGTATGTGTGCAGGTTGTATGTATCTGTAATCACAATTGGTCTGTGTACAGGTTGTATGTATCTGTAATCACAATTGGTCTGTGTACAGGTTGTATGTATCTGTAATCACAATTGGTATGTGTGCAGGTTGTATGTATCTGTAATCACAATTGGTCTGTGTACAGGTTGTATGTATCTGTAATCACAATTGGTCTGAGTGCAGGTTGTATGTATCTGTAATCACAATTGGTCTGTGTGCAGGTTGTATGTATCTGTAATCACAATTGGTCTGTATGTAGGTTGTATGTATCTGTAATCACAATTGGTATGTGTGCAAGTTGTATGTATCTGTAATCACAATTGGTATGTGTGCAGGTTGTATGTATCTGTAATCACTGTATGTATCTGTAATCACAATTGGTCTGTGTGCAGGTTGTATGTATCTGTAATCACAATTGGTCTGTATGTAGGTTGTATGTATCTGTAATCACAATTGGTATGTGTGCAAGTTGTATGTATCTGTAATCACAATTGGTATGTGTGCAGGTTGTATGTATCTGTAATCACAATTTGTCTGTGTGCAGGTTGTATGTATTTGTAATCACAATTGGTCTGTGTGCAGGTTGTATGTATCTGTAATCACAATTGGTATGTGTGCAGGTTGTATGTATCTGTAATCACAATTTGTCTGTGTGCAGGTTGTATATATTTGTAATCACAATTGGTATGTGTGCAGGTTGTATGTATCTGTAATCACAATTTGTCTGTGTGCAGGTTGTATATATTTGTAATCACAATTGGTATGTGTGCAGGTTGTATGTATCTGTAATCACAATTGGTATGTGTGCAGGTTGTATGTATCTGTAATCACAATTGATATGTGTGCAGGTTGTATGTATCTGTAATCACAATTGGTCTGTGTGCAGGTTGAGATAATATTCACTCATGATAAACTCAGATGAAATTTTCTTGAGTTGGAATAGCTTGATCATGTGGTTTAGTCAGCGGTTTTCCTTGACAACTTTACAATAATCAAAGCAGAGCTGAACTTAGATTTTGTAAAGCTTAGCTTTATTGGAAATGGGAAGGAAACATTGATTTTGGAAAGCAGTTTGAGAGTAGAGAAGACATTTTTTATAGCATGCCTGGCATTTTTGTTTCATGTTAGGTTATTAGCAATATGCACTATTATGACATTGTTATTTTTGAGAGCTTGCAGATATTTATGAAACAGTGACTGAGTGCTGCTTCTGGTTTCTTGGATCTTTGTTGGGTTATAGTAGCCTTTTTTGTCATTGTTCTTGATGTATTTAGAGTCATTCCATTTACACCAATTTTCTAAATCATCTAAAGCATGTTGTTAATTTTCTTTATGTGAACAGCAGTAGGGACAACTGAGCATCCAAGAGATTAGTGTTAGTTACAGATATATGTGATGGTTGCCTAATGTTGCATATAATGGAGCAGATCATTAATAAAGATTAGAAATAAAATGGGGACCAAATTGAACCCTGTGAATTGTTCCATTGACATTGACTTTGTGGTATTTACCAGTAAAATAGGTAGAAGAAAGCACCTTAAGTGATAAATTTCAAATTTATTGAGAAGAATCATTATGGTCCACTAAAATTTCAAAGCTTTCCTGAAATCTGATAAGAATCTCCCTTCCAGATTATATGCCCAATTGTCCACAGCATTGTATCTGTCACTGGAAATTTAGTAGCCTTGCATGAGTGACTAGACCTGAACCTAATGAAATGTTATGGTAACTTGATTCTTTTATTAAGTTGGAAAAAGTAAGTAGAATTCAGATAGGTACAAAATTATTAGCATGATTCCATTTTTGATCAATGGAATAACCACTGCTAACTTTAAAATGCAGGATAATTGTCTAGTTTAAATGCTAAGATTTATTAAATATGTCTTCTGCATTTAATGGCCAAAGATCTTTAAGACTTTTGCAAAAAATTAATTAAAAATATCAACTATCTACATTGAATCAGTGATACCCTTTCCAGCTTGAGTAAGAACATTAATATCACTATTTATTTGGGCAAGCTCCAAGCTATTACAACATTTTCCAAAATATCTCAAGATTTCACTAGTCCCTTTCTACATTTTAATTTTTTTACAATAATATTTCCAAACTTTGCATATGAGTTTTATTACTTTACATCTGCACATCTTGTGATTTTCTTCACTTTCCTGTAATTTTATGGGCATGATCAGGGTCATTAAACACTTTCCGTGGTGCATTTTCTTAAACCCATAATATTAAACCCATAATAATAATATTACAAGATCCATACTTTGATGGCAGTTTGTTCATTGAGACAGATCAGTTTTACATGAGAAACACACTGGAAATTTATTACTTGAATCAAGTTTAGGTTTAGGACCCCCTCAGACATGAAGTTAAATGATGTGGGGTGTTGTTTCTGGGTCATGTGACTATTTAGATGACAATCCTAAATGCTAATCACAATACATCTACTACTATCTAAATGCAACCCTTGCAAATCAAGAAAGGTTACAATCGCCTTGGCAACAAGCAACAAGTCTTTGCCTGCTTAAAGTGCAAGTCAGAAGAGTGTTGTCTCCCTTTAGAGATAGGTATTGTATGTACATGTTCTACAGTCATATAATTATAATCATTTACATACTATCAAAGAAATTTTATCTACCCTCTCAAACACTTGGTTTTTCTTCAAATATATTACCTGGGTATAATATGTTTGGAGAATGGGTAAGAGAAGGAGTGAGTTGCGGTTCCTTCCTTACCCTGGAGTCAGCCCAGACTGAAGTCTCCTAATATATATATATATATATCTGTAGCAGCATCTTGATGAATAAAATATATGCTAGGATTAGCACTTATAGTAGTACAGGTCATGTGAAAGAGGACATAAGTCTCCTAATATAAATGAATAAAATATATGCTAGAATTAGCACGTATAATATATATGAATAAAATATATGCTAGGATTAGCACTTATAGTAGTACAGGTCATGTGAAAGAGGACATAAGTCTCCTAATATAAATGAATAAAATATATGCTAGGATTAGCACATATAATATATATGAATAAAATATATGCTAGGATTAGCACTTATAGTGGTACAGGTCATGTGAAAGAGGACATAAGTCTACTAATATATATGAATAAAATATATGCTAGGATTAGCACTTATAGTAGTACAGGTCATGTGAAAGAGGACATGTCTCCTAATATAAATGAATAAAATATATGCTAGGATTAGCATGTATAATATATATGAATAAAATATATGCTAGGATTAGCACTTATAGTAGTACATAAGTCTCCTAATATATGCTAGCATTAGCACATATATATGAATAAAATATATGCTAGGATTAGCACTTTTAGTAGTACAGGTCATGTGAAAGAGGACATAAGTCTCCTAATATAAATGAATAAAATATATGCTAGGATTAGCAAGTATAATATATATGAATAAAATATATGCTAGGATTAGCACTTATAGTAGTACAGGTCATGTGAAAGAGGACATAAGTCTAATAATATATATGAATAAAATATATGCTAGGATTAGCACTTATAGTAGTACAGGTCATGTGAAAGAGGACATAAGTCTAATAATATATAGGAATAAAATATATGCTAGGATTAGCACAGGTCATGTGAAAGAGGACATAAGTTTGTTTCTGCAAATCCAGCAGAAATAGAGTGATCTGCATTGTATAAAGCAATTTGAGGAACCTGAGATAATGGCTTATTTAGCTGTCATTACTGACCCAATCAAGTGAAGCTACATTTTTTAGATGAGAGCTTTCTGATGTAAAAGCTAGAAGGGGTTGCCTCTGACCTCCACCCTTTGGTATATATTAAGGAGGTAGGCAAGCAGGTTCACTCGAACTCTTGTGTTGGATATGGTTAGACAAAATATGGAAGAAACTTATCAGATTTAGGATTGGCACACCCTGTATGCAAAGGACCCCAGTGTATCTGGAGTGAAAATGCCTGAGTGAAATCAGGAATAATCTAGTATCCCCTCTTCTGGTTGACTTTCAGCCACCATGTAATTTCCTGACATGTTATTGTAGGTGTGCATTAACAGATCCCAAGAAAAAAATCACAGCTGCTGAAAGATTTAAAACTGGTTATAAATGGTGACCTGTTCTAAGTAACAGAAGCAGGGTCTGTAAGGGGAGAATATCAGCCATCATGATATAGAGCTAATGGCTGATATGTTATGTACCTGACTTATTCCACCTGCTGTAGCAAGGGTAACTAGATATAATATGTTGTACAAGAGTTGTATAATTTAAGATCTAGATAGGAGTTAAAGCAATATAGGCCATGAGTTTGGTCCATATCTTCCCTTCCATGATTCCAAGATTGTGGAATGGTAGTCTTGATTGTGTTGGTAATTTGGTTCCTCTTTTCAAATAGCCAAAAATGCCATTTGCAGAAACTCTCCACTTTCCTTGGTGTACTTTAATTTTATGGAGCTTTTTGTGTGGCTGGTCCTATCCACCACTTGTGCTGAGGAGTGCTGCTTTCTGAGGGCATGCCTAATGTGAACCATTCATGCAGATTGAGCCTTTATGGGCATAGATAGGGAAAATATGCAGTGGGAGTTGTTTGAGTAAGTAATTTCCTCTGAGTCTTCTGGGTTTGATCCAAATGATAGATGAACCTTGATTTTCCCACTTAAGCGTGTGATCAGAACTTG